GTGATTTGAGAGTGAGTAAATGAATGAATTTATTATATTGAGTGAAGACAGAAGAAAGTGAAGATTAAAGTTTGGGGTTTGGAAGACTAAAGAATCAAAAGTTTCGGTGTGGAAAGTGGAAAAAGAAAAATATGGGGGGAAGACGCGACGCGAGACGTGTATGGCATGGATCTTCAATTTAAATTTCACAATGTATCACGTGTGGGGTTTTGTGGAGAGAAGTACCTGGTTTCGGGTCGGAATATTGTAATACCGGAGCTCCATGCCTACAAGCTTCCTCGCTTTCCAATTCTACCTTGTATCTTTCTGTCTCACTCAAAACTAACATCATTGATTATGGGGGCAGGACAATACATCAAATATCCATATCTTTGCTGTACTGTCTTACTAGACCTTTATGAAATCAAAAGCTCTCCTCAATTCTCGACTGAAATCACAAAGTACATGATCAAAATCTCAAAAGTAGAGCTCGTTCATTTACATAATTGAAGCAAGTGTCTTCCAATTGACGATGAGAATTCCTGTCTTGGACGAATTGAAGTCTTTAGGAGACTAGGTTTAGCTAGTAGTTGAGCAAGATACTCAAGTTCTTCCCCTTAACTTGTTGGTCCGTTGGACTCTTCTTGCCACTCTCTTGAATCTTTTTTATGCATTGACTGGATTTTATGTAGGTAGGTATCTTCTATGCCCTCTTGGAGTACAGAATATCATGTTTGTTATATTTTGAGCCGCACTTTCTATTATGTCTATTGAATTTTCCATATTTGATAATTTCCCTTCCAGAGTTTCATCTCATCTCCCTTATCAACCGAATATTCAGTCATCCAAACTTCTCTTGAGTTCAATATTCTGCCAATTAACATCGCCCATAATTAAAAATGCCACTTCCCCCTCAGACTTCAACTTCTCGTTTTCCACGTTCCAACTTCGCTTCCATGATATATTACCCAACACCCATCCATTATCCACAGTTCGGTTATCTGCCAGAGACTCTCTTCTCCTTCAACACCACATCTATCGTTTCCTCCTCCTTTTCATCCTTTGCTTCTCCTTTTCCGCCATCTTCATCCTCACGTTTTCCTTCTTCGCCTGTAACTCTTTCCAACTTATATGTCCTCAAGTCCATTCCTCAAACAACTTCTGTTCAAGCATCTCTTCTATTTCTTTTGCCCTCTGCTCCACCAATTCCTTCTCCTTCTTCACCTCCGTTTTTTCTTCTTCTGCCTTTTTCTCAATCGTGCTCTTCCTTTTGTATTCTTGGTAAATAGAGAGGGTTAAGCGGTTCTGAATCAACTCTTTCTGTCGATTGATTGCTTTGTAGATGTGAAGAAGATATGGTGAAGGTCCATGGTTATATCACTTTTATTCGAATTCAGATAATTTGTCTCCGTTATTTATATGGTTACGACAGGTAACAATTAGGTCACCGGATTAGTAATAACACGTGATGCGAGGACTCGAAGAGCTCGAAGGCTTGGCCTCTCGAGCCCTTCGATCGATGAGAGCGAAAGGATCAAAGCTCGATTCCCTCGCTCCCTTCGAGCCACGAAGCATGAAGGTCTATATAATCAAGATGGACTTCCTTTGTATAGAGCTTCGTGCTCAAGATCAATCATTTAGTATACTCTACTACTAGTTACGGATTGCATATCATTATTGTCATTACTTAAGTCCCTGCTTGACGTCTAGTTATAAACCACCTCGGGAGCCTAGAGCACTTCCACGTGATCTAGACGGCAAACCTCGTAACAACAAGGTATTTATTATTTGCATTATATGTACATTTAAAGAGTATAAATAAGATATTATATATTGAATATTAATCATTTTATATGATTCTCTAGATGATTCTAGTATAAAATCTTTTAAAATTGAAGATTATCTGAATATAATCTAATATAAATAATACACCAGGCCAAAACGGGTGTACGCTACCCGTCCGCCTAACCATGAATTGATCCCAACCAAGTCCTTCTCCAACCCTGACTGTTCTATTTCCGCTCCAAACCTACCTCAAACTCACCCCA